TGAATGGCGAGACCAAGGGACGTCTTCTCCTTTGTGCTCCTCCAGCTCTGGCTCCTCTCCTAAATTAAATTCTCATCTCTGAGATTCATCTTCATTCAGGAGAAAGAAAAGACTTTGGTCTTTTAAGGGTACTTTTTCCTGAGCTTTTCTGTGCCTCCGCTTTCTCTGTACTTCCCCTGTGCCGCAGGGGAGAAAGGACCTGAAAGGGAGGTGTCAGGGTTTCTGCAGCGCTACCGGCAAGAGCTGGAGGCGCGGAGGGGCACCCCTGAGCTGTCCCAGAGGCCATGGCAAAGCACACACGTTTTCTGGCTTCAAAGCCCTCAACAGAAAAGTTAGAGGAGCACCAGGCTGCAGGAGGATGGAGTGGAGGAGGCCCATTTTGGGAAAGGAAGGCTTAGGCCATGTGGAGCCCGCGGAGCCCTGGCTTCTCCCTCATGGTCCAACATCTTCTGGTAAAGAAGCAGCAGGACGCAGGCTGAAGAGTCAGCAAATTCCTGTCAGAGGAATTTGTGTTTTGAAGACTTTATTCAGAATTATTTAGTTCTAGCTGGAGTCATTAGAGTATGTCTGCTAGAGACCGAGGAGGCCCAGGCCCATTCTGCCTAGCCCACACGGCACTGGGCTGCGGTCCACACACAGCCTTGGGGAGGGGAGGACCCACCCTACACCTTAGCGCAGCCTCGCCATCACCAGATCCCCTTCTTTGCTTGTTCTGAGGGTCTTCCAGGCTACCAAGAGGGTCAGATGACAAAGACCTGAGGGGGTGTTCAGCTGTGTGGCGATGTTCGGACATGGTGGGTCCTTATGGGAGGGGTCTCCCTCCTCCTCGCTTCCTCTTCATGGGAAAAGCTCACCAGGAGACCCTCCCTCTTCTTTCCTTGTTTTCACTTCCTCCTGAGTCCCAGGATGCTGCCAAAAGGAAAGACTGCACTAATTAGGTGTGTGTGTGGTGGTGAGGGGGACCTGGAATGTGACCAGCCTTCGGAGTCGTTTGGAAATCCATAGCTACTTCTGAGGAAAAGCTAGGACTCCAGCTTCAACTAAAGGGCAGTGGCCTCCAGTCTTTTATAGCTTGAGCCGCATTCCCAGAAGTAGCTTCAGAATCCATTCCCTATAGTGCTTCTGCCTAGAGGAGGCTCTGGGCTTTGCCCTGTGTTCGTGTGGTAGAGCCACGCACAACCAGAAGAGCTGTGTCAGTCAGGAACCCCCTATGGTTTATTGGGTTATATGCAGAATTGGGGAGGCTTTTGAAAATTAGTGACTGAAGGGTGCCAACAGTTCATGATGCTTACATAATCATCTGATCTTGGGGAGGGGAGGTAAAGACGTGACTCTAATGGTTAGGGAACAAGATTGGTAATAAGAGATGAGCGTTAGATTGGGAGTCTTCAACCCAGGATGGAACATAGCCTCCAACAAATATTTGTTTGCTTTCTGATCTTAACATATAGATGATTTTGAAGAAAAGAGTTTTAGGAGGGAGAGGTCCTTGAAGACTCCTTTTTTAATCCAGCCCCAGTTCTCTAATGTGTTAGGGTAGGAAAAGTACAGTTCAGTCTAGTACAAAAGAGACCAAGGTGCTAAGTGACCTCATTGTTGCCTTGGGTGCTTATGTTACTAATGTGAATTGCAAAGGCCACAAATCCTGGGCCACTTCCTTTCAGAGGATTCTTATCTTGAATGATGTCCAAGAAGGGTGCAGGGCTTGTGCGGTGGGAGGGGGAGCTCCCACTTATTCAGGGTTTAAGACTCCCACTGCCAAGTGGTCTATATGTTATCTTGCTTGATGCAAATGCTACTAAGACATTATTTTAAATGACTTTGAGATTCAGAAAGGTTAAGTGACATGATTAAGTATCGTGTTACCAGCTGGAGAGGGCTTCTCTGCAGTGGATACTCAGTAAACATCTGTTTATCAACGAAGTGGATGGCAGTGACAGGGTCTGAACCTAAGTTTAATTGAGCTCCAAAGTGGGTGCTGTTTCCACTCTGTCTTCTCGAACCCAACATACAGAAAGTAGCAACTGCATTCCCCCAGGCTCTGTACTCTGCTGGTAAGCTTTGTCCAAATAGGAGGACACCCAGGAGAAACCTGAGGCCATGCACCCAATAACCAGGGCTGACTTGGTGCCTCCCTCTGTGGACCAAGCGCTCTGCAAAGCACTCAGCTGATTCAAACCAAAGGAAACTTAAAAGGTGTGCACCTTGCAGCACCTGTAGTTGTAAGATAGATACCCACTCCAACTAGCCCTCAAAAAGGTGAGACAGGGACAGGGTCAGGCAGCGCATCAGAATGCTAGACTTCGTACTGAAGCCAGGGTAGTGGAACAGTTTGACAACAAGACCAAGAATTAGGGAAGCCCTAGAACTTTGAAAGATTGTAAGGACCTCTACTAACCAGCCCCTTACTCTCCTACTTATTCCGCCCCTTCCTGTCACCAACTGGTGTGGTTTCCATGCAGACTGCAGTGATCATAGGAATCGCCCTGCATATAAAATTGTGCAACTGGGGAACACATATCTAGGGGTGTACAAAGTAGAGCCAAGGGATATATGCACACAAATATGAAGAGAATTTGCAAATCTTCAACTTTCACATGGGTTTCTCTCCTGAAAATTGACCTACCCAAAAGAAGTGTCTATTGATGAAGCCTTGTGCTGGTTCTCTCTTCTCTCTCCCCCTTTCCTGTGCAGCTGCTGACTTGTACCACGTAGTTGGCCTGAGATATTTGCATCTCTACTCAACATGTTTTGTCTGTTTTTATTCCCTGAGCAACACTACTATTCATGTAGCACTTGTATTAATTATTGTAAGTAACATAGAGATGATTTGTACTCAGCATACAGGTAGATGTATTTAGGTTATATGCAAATACTGTATCATTTTACATGAAGAACTTGAACATCCACAGACTTTGGTATCCATGGGGGTCTTAGAATGAGCCCTCCTTAGATGCTGAAAGATGACTATAAGGATCGCTGTTGAGATTACAAATAAGGATTATTTTTAAAAATTCATATGTCTAGGCTTCATCCCAGATGTTTCAGAATTACTGATTCTATTCTCCTGTACCTTTGACTCAGGTGAGTTCTATTTAGCCAAGAAGACTACAGCGCATGCACTGGCTGTAGGGAAACATTCTCCAAACGATACCCATTCGATGGCCCAGAGTTGGTCTCTGCCACTTCTCCCTTGTCCCTTTAGGTGAGTACCTTATCCTGCCCAGTTTCATTTCCCTTTTTGTAAATGGGGAGAGCTATTGTTCCTACTTCATAGAATCGATATGGGATTAAATGAAACACTTCATGTGTATAGCACAATGCCTCGCACCTAAGTACTCAAAACTTAAATTTGCTATTAATTATATAGTATTAGCATTTTATCATCTATGTAATTGATCTCTGTAAGTAATCTCTTGGCTCTGGTGGTGGGAATAGGATCTGATCGCCAGCCAACTGTTAACAAAAATACATGAAAGAAAGGAAAAAATCCAAAGTTTATTAAACATTAAGAACAACAGACAAAGATTTGAACTTAACAGCATAAATACCACCAGTATTATGGTGTACAAATCAAACTAACCTTATATTATCTTGTACCTGTTTAACAGATGCAATCTTGGTGGTGTTGCCAAAGGATGATGGGTTACTGTTGGGTAAGGTGCTCAAAAATTTGATATTTGATGTCTTCAAACTTTCGTACACACATGCACACACATACACACATGCTCCCCTGGATATATGTATCTCCTGAAAAAATGCAATCAAGTAAGTTGCTAAGTTGAATTCCTCGAAACCTAGGACAAAGTTTTGCCCATTTTGGAATGATTTTACTTTTGGAAAACACCTAAAGAATTTGGCCTTGTCTGTGAGGGAACCTAGGAGACTTCCTCAGAAAGAGGACACACTGGGAGCAGAGGTGCCCACCACTGGGAGGGCCTAACACCTCACTCCAGCCAGCTGCACGTGATCCTGGTGTTGAGTCCAGGGCTCCAGGGCCGCACAGCCAAGCAGGCCAAGTGCTGTGGGATCTCATGAGTTAAGTAGGATACAGTGAGTGTCTCTTAAAGGGAAAATTAGATGAACTACTAGGAAAACCAAAGACTGCCTCTCCATTTTACAGTAAGTCTGGGTTTTGTTGACGCTTCTGAAACCAGACAACAGACCTTCCGAAGGGACACTCGGAACCCCTGTGAGTTCCCACACAAAATCAGTGCAACAGAAGCAACCTCTGGGGAATCTTGCATGACTTCTGCGAATGCCAGTATCCCAGCCGTGCTCTCTTTAAATAAGCCATCCTTCTGCTTTGAGGGGAGATTCCACGGAGACCTGATGTGCGCAGAGGCCAAGTCTGGTCACAGTCTTGCTCAGCGTGCTTCTGCATGATCCCAAGTGGCTAGCTAGGTTCTAAAGAGGATGGGAATGTTCGCAGCCTCCCCTCAGTCAGCCTCCCACCCTTGCCCCAACGTAGCTTAAGCAGAAAGAGGCTCATTTTTTGTCCTTCTTTTCAAAGTTAGGATGACATGACCTTATCTAGAAGTCCTATGCTGCTCACTTCAGACTGTCTAAACAATGTTGGCGTGATACGACACGGACTCGTGTTAATAGTTGCAGTCTGCAGACATACACTGACCTCAGGACCCACATCACTACAAATCAGACCAAGCTTCCTACCCCGGTCAGCTAGTCCAGGAGTGTGTATGTGTACGTGTTTGTGTGTGTGTGTATGTGTGTGTGTGTTTACAATGACCTACATATAAGGCACCTGTATGGACTCTGTGTTTAATTTTTTTTTTTTAAAACGAGGTAGGTTTTTAAAACCTTTCCTGGCACACAAAGTAATGTTTTATCATGATCTTTTTAATTCTTCTGTAGAAAACATTTGTGATGTTTATTTGATAGAAACAACCTAATTGCACAAAAGATCAGTGCTCAAAAGTGTTTGTTTTTCCACTACTATTTGATAACTCCATAATCCACATGGTCAGCATTATAACCCTTCAATGTCTCTCCGCTTAAAGATATATAATCAGTGTTTGTGTCCTGACTACTGCCATCTTACAAGCTCACAGGTGGCCTCTTCCTCTGGACCAAGGCCAGCTCTATGACTACGTATGACACTCACTGAATAGCTTTCGTTCAGTTCTACGTGAGATTGCCAAAGATTTTGTTGATGCGTATTAGTTATGTCCCTGAATGATGTACTTCAATTCCAGTATTCCCTCCCCTTGTGCCATAATTTGCATTGTACAACAAAGGAGGAGCTTGGAGGAATATCCCCCTGGTCACCTTTCCTGAAACCATGACAATACAGAGGAACATTGCTGATGAATTGGCAAGGAGACTCATCACATCATTAAAGAATTTTATACTTCGGAGGCAGGAAACTAGGAAACTCCCATTGATGAGAGGGGATTTTAATCTGGCACAAAACGCTTGTTGGCAGTAACAGCAGGATCTCATGACATTATACAACTCAGTGAAACAAAAGAACATTCACCTTGAAAGTCAAAACATCTATCAAATCATAAGCCATACACATAGCACCGATGTCAGCCTTGTACGGCATGAGACAGATGCGCAGGCCCCAAGAGAAGGACAGCATCCTTCGGGGTGCCGGCAGCAATATGCCCCAACCCAGAAACTCGGAATTCTGAAGTGAACATTTTTGTGGCAGATGCTCTTTCGAAAAAAACACGGCATCATCCAATAAATATTTGACTAAAATCCATTTTGTGCTTTTGGGTGATGTTAACTGACTTCTTTCTGAGACCTAGTAAGAAATAAGAACGTGCTGGAGCAGGAGTCGCCACAGCAAGCCTCGACACTGTCATAAAATTTTAATTTAAAGCAGAAAACATGCTGATGTGTCAGTAATAGCCTTAAAATATTAAAGACTTCAAAAACCCCCAAGCGCTGCTTCTCTATACAACATTGGTGAATATATATCTTTGCTATATAATTTTAAAACATGGAATAGTTTTTCCTTTTTCTCTTTTCTATATATAATATATGTCTTCCAAAATACATTGTCAGTATTTATATCTGAAAAATACTGTACAAAAAGAACTTCCTATAATTATTCTGTATAAACATTAAACAATTTAACAATCTCTCCTTTTGGTCTGTAGTAAACATTTAAATCGATGGGATCAACCACAGTCCGTGACAACACCATCCTCTCTGAGATACACCAGTGTCTTTTACATTCATTTTTCAGAAGTCCACTTTATAAGAGCACACACGTCCAAAAGCAAACAGAGAAGAAGAGACGTAAGCTCCAGAATCATTAATTGATGAGGCATTCAAAAATAACACCACGGGGAGAAAGGGTAGTAGAAAACACCAACTTAGGAACTTAACTGATTTTTTTTTCTTTTAAACAGCCAAGTATAATTCACAAAAATATATATATTACCAAAAAATGGGGAAACTGAATCTTAAGTCATTTTTTAATATTAAGAGGAATATGCAAAAAGTCAACTAGAAAAACTGGAGTGGGGTCGGTGTGGGAGAGGGTGACAACAGAACCAAACAGATCAAAGGCTACTCCAAGACACTATTTTTTTTTTTTCTTTTTTTTTTTGGCTCATGTACTGATAAATTAGCCCCTTAGTCTTAGACCTCTCGTTGCCCTCTGCTTCCCTGTCCTGGGGATATTCTGCTCATGCGCAAATGCATTACTTTAATTTTGTGTTTTAAAAGACAGTGAGATTCTTAGGTAGGGAAAGACATCCTACGTCCACTAGTAATACTCAGGCAGCATGCTCTAGCGTACAATAGGATTATTGCTTTAGGTACGGACAGTGCAAAAACACACTCTGTGTTCTAGAATAGTACTCGTACTTATCGGGGGTTGGTGGAATTCAAAGGAAACTTAGTAAGCTGCAGGAAGTAAATATGGGATCCAATAAATCTAAACAGCACTTTAATTTGAAGACAATTATCACCAAAACTGAAAAGGAGGAAAGCAACCTATAAAGGAACAGACCTGCGGTGTAGTGCTAAGTTATTCTGCGCACCTCATTAGCATGGTAACGTATGGATTAAACAGAAACAAGAGCTTGCACTCTCGAGGACTGCGAACCACTGTTTTCCCAGGGCCTAGTGACGCCCAGCAGCGCCCAGACAAGCAGGGGAGCTGGACAACGCAAGGGCAGGGCCGCGCAGGGAGGGGGCGGCGACCCACGGGGGTCCCCAGAGTCTAGTAAAAACATGGCACCTTTCTTTTGGGGGGACTAAAAGACGATGAGAGGGCTACCACAACATGGCAAGTGCAAAGGGCCACGCACGCATCCACACATGCGTGCGCGCACACCGCGGACCGCATGAACACAAGCACATGTATGCACATGCGTGCGCGCGCACACACTCTCTTCTCTCAAACACGCACACACACACACACAGGCACACAGATGCACACCGAAATGGGGGTCAGTTGTGTTTATGCCTCTGGTAAAGTGCGGATGTCAGAAAGGTCGGTCTGGGTGCGGTGCTGTCACGCAGGAAACGAGCCGTCCGCCCTCCGTCCATCCGAGGCCAGCCCAGCACGGCGGGGCCTACAGCGGCCCGTGCCTGGCCTCGTACTTGGCCAATATGTTCTTGCACTTGCCCAGCTCCTTCCTCAAGTCAGCCACCTCCTGGCGGAGGGCTGAGTTCTCCTTCTCCAGGAACGAGGCCCTGATGGCAATCTGGTTCTCCTTCAGCCTGCGGGCGTCGCGGGATCGCTTCGCTGCCATGTTGTTCTTTCTGCGCCTCGCCCAGTACTTGTCATCCTGCTCGTGGGTCACAGAGGGGGAAAGAAACGAGGTATTAGATTTCAGCAGCGCAGCACCACCTGGGAAGGCCACCCCGAGATGCCAGCCCAGGTGCACAGCACAGTCTCCTTCCTTAGCCTCTGCCTGGCCGAGCAAACGGTCCAGGAGCCACGGCTGCCTTCCTGGAGCCAGGACCAAACTGTCCCACGGGCCCTGGCTCTGTGCAGCTCAGCTCGTGCCCAGCGAGGTGGAGACCAGAGCCTGGGGGAAGGCGAGCACCCGGAAACGCCTTCCAACTTTCCATACTCGCTTGGCTGCAACATGTGGAGCCCTTTTATCTTCCACAGGTACCGAGCCGCTCTTCTGGCTTGAGCTGGCAGGGTATTTTTGGAAGGCCATGTGGCAAGATTGCTCAACTGTTTTAATATGTACAGTATTGATTTAGTAACTCCCCCGCTAAGATTTCAGCATAGGGCATCCTCGTGCCAGTGAGCAGACACATGAACAAGGTTTTTACTGTAGCATCGTTTGAAGAAGAAAAATATGAGGGAAAGCTAATTATCTGTATGTATCTATCATTTTGATAAAAGTCACACAAAGGGATTCTTCTACAGCTATTTAAAATAAGGACCCTACTGAAAGATAAAGATGTTCATGATGTATCACCCTGTCAATGGAAACAATGGCAAACTGTTGGTAAATATGTTTGGTTTCATTCCACTTTGATTAAACATTGTGATATAATGTGTTTATAGAAAGAGGCCCACAAAGATTTATCCCAGTCATGGTGGACTTTTTTAGAGCTTTCAATGATAACAAGCAGCTGGCAACAGAACGCATGCCACGGGTTTCCTGATTTATGACAAGCTATACAAACGATGCCTGTGCAGAGGAGGCTGAGAGAGGCAAAGGAGAACAGTAGGATCTCTCACTTTTTATACCTGTCTGAATCACAAGACTATCATACAATGGTGGGGAGGGTGTGTATGGTGATGGCTGAAAACAAAAATTTTAAAAACCTTCCAACCTGTCACTAAGCATACTCATATAGGCGATTAGCGATTGACACTTATTTCCTGCTTAATGGTTCTCTAGGTCTCAATGGCCCTAGCTAACTGTGGTCTGCATGAAAACAATTCTTCCTTTTCGCTCATTGCTGCCTCTACCTGACCAAAACAAAAGAAAGCTTCCTTACTAAGGAAGGAGTCTTCCTTTAGACCCTCCCAATGCACTGATGGCGTTACTGGATGAGGTGGGCAACTTTCCTCAACAGCTTCCAACAGCATCTCCGTCCATCCTAGCCAAGCTAACACCTATGAAGTTACGTGGCACCCAGAGGAAGTGTGGAAGGCCTGTCCTCACCGTCCCCAGCATTTCCAGGGTGGGAGTTGGCGTTGGAGGAGGGCACATGGCGTGGGGTCAAAGCTGCAGGAAAAATCCAAGAGGAGTGTCAGCCTCCAGACACGCTCACTCCCCCCAGAGACATTTGCCCTGCACAGAGCCAGAGTGTGAATTGAGAAGTGCGTGTAGGCGCCTCCCGAGTGCTGGTCACAAGCTGGTACTGTCCCTTTATTTCTAAATTACCTCCTAGCATTAACTGTACCTTTCAATAAGCAAATAGAAAATTTTACATGCTTAGATCTGGTAATCTGAACAACTCCTTTTAAAACAACAATATGCGATACCACAACCATTGTTGAATTCCTGTCATCTTGTTTTTAGAATTTCTGTATTGCTTCTAATTCTTCCATTATTTTTAATCCTCTCTACAATAAAATTACTGCAAGCAGGTGCCAGGGCCGGGAGCTCGATCCCCTGGCCTGTCATACTGGTCCTGCCCCAGGGGCGCGCAGAGATGGCAATTGAGACTGGGCATGGTGGCGCACACCTGTAATCCCAGCTGTTGGGGGGCTGTAAACAGGAGAATCACTACGAGTCTGATCTAGTAGTGAGACCCCGAACACCCTGTAGACCCTTCCCTAAAATACAATAAATAAATAAATAAAATTAAATATATTAAAAATAAAATTTCCAAAACACAAAAAGTACCCCTAGCTTTTCACTTGTTCATGCTAATATGCAACAGGGTGCAAAGTGATCTTCCTAGCAGCTGGTACCAGAATTTCTCTTTAGGGAGGAGGTTGTCCTTTGAAGAATACCTGCATAAGCAAGCCTGGAAGGAATGCAAGGGCCATTTGTGGAATTTGTTGTCTGGCTTCTGAGAGGTAGCAGGGCAGCTGGAGGAAAGGGCTGGGGGCTGGGAGGAGCCAGGAGAGTCAGTGACATGGAGGGACAAGGGGGCCCAAAGGCAGAGTCAGTCCAGCAAAGCAAGGATTCTGATGGAGGTTGTTAGTGTCACTAGGACGTGAGCCCCATTCCATGCCCTTCGTAGTGTCAATAAATCCAGCATAGTCCTCAGTGAGCGCAGCAGTGCGGTTTCCATCAAGGATTCCAGGCAGGAACTAACTCAGGATTTATCAGTGGCTGCCTCCCAGGGAACAGGAGGCCCGGTGGTGAGAGACTACGTGAGAATAAGCCCCTGTGAACTGTGTGGCAGCGAGGGATGGACAGAGGTACTGCCATAGGCCATGGACCTGGTGGCCTGTGACTGTAGTGACCAGGTCTAGAGGGACTCACCAGCTGACCTCAAGTAATAACCAAATTAGAGCTCTTCTTACTCCTAGAGCGTTTTCACTCCCCAGCCTTACCCATCCACACCAGCAGATGAGCTAGCAAAAGTGTAGAATGGAGACCAAACTCTCAGGCAGGAGGGGAGCAAGGAACAGAGGTGGAACAAAGGACACTGCCAGGAATGATGGGAGGAGCAGTGTCCTGCCTAGAAAATCCAGCTCGTCTCTTTTCTGCCTCTCAGGTGCTAATGCCACCTGCCTGCCCAGTTACTCTCCTCCAACTGGAACTCACCAAGCCATACTCCATTTTGCCAGGTCAACAACTCCTGTTTGCTGACTGGATTAGAGTTTCCATGAGGCCAGAACAACATCTTTCCCAACATGGGGCTTGGCATATTTTAGTATTTGAAAAATATCTGTCCAGTGACTGAATAGACCCTTAAAAATATTAAGAAACATAGATAACAAAACTGATTTTAGGTAAGAACTCTGGGTGTCCTCCTTTAATACTCCCAGGGAATGCTTGCTATCCCTAATTCATTTTTGTAGATACTGCTCTACTCAATTGGCTTGCGCACTGTGCAGTGCCGGGGGCCATAAACACTTCTCTCCCACCCCAGGTCTTCTCTGCTGACATGGGACAGCTCTTCCTGCCTCCTACCAGCTCATAATGTGTGACCTGAAGGTTCATCCACACCTGAGGGGGAAAAAAAGCCCCAAGGGCACAGGAAAGTATTCCTGGCCGTTCCCCACCCACCACGTACAAAGCCATGACAGCAGTAGAATTCCAGCACGGATGGCTTCGCTCCACCTCTCTGTGGCTGAGCTTACCTGCATTATTAAGTAGGCTTGCTCTTTGCTGTGAACATGTCAATTTGGAGACTGAAAATCTGGCTGGAAATTTTATCTCCCATTTGGTAGCAGTCGTTCAAACTAGCCTCCAGCCAAGAGGAAATCTGTGCTGAACCTAATCCTAGTTTAGGTTAAGAGGCGGGACTCTGAAATACACACAGAATTGACTCACAAGAAGATAAGATTGGGATTGGCACACAACTGCAAGACAGTGTCTCCAACCCCTAGACCTAATCCTATAGCACCCTGGTCTTAGCCTGTGGAATTCAACCACCCATGCACCAAAATACATTAGATTTTATGATCTCTTTACCAGACCTTTCCTTTTTTATCAGAGTGATAGTTGATTTCTTTGGGGTTTTTGGGGGAGTGGTTGTATCAGGATTTGGACTCAGGATCTCATGCTTGCCAGGCAGGTGCTGAGCCACTGAGCTAAATCCACAGCCTATCATGACAGTTACTGAGTTGTTACCCGTAGGTCCTGGTGTGGCCCTTGTCAGGATTAACATGAGGCAGTGAACTTTCTGAGGTACAGTTCATCTGTGCTTCTCTTCTGCTTCAAGGAAGAGCACTAAGGTTCTCATCAGTCCTGAAATTTTCCTGTTCTGCATCAGTGCAGTGATCTGCCTGGTACTTCTGCCTGTCGTATTTTTTTTTTTAATTCTGCATTCTTTCTAGACATGAAAAGCAACAGAAGCTGTCTAAATCAGTTCAATGTCCCAAACTCCCATTTCCCCAATGTTGGAGTCTCTCTACACATGAGCTGTATTTAGGTTTGCGTGGTAGGGGTCAGACTTTAGAAAAGGCTAGTTATGTCACGTTCAATGCCTTCGAAATGTATAATCACATCTCCTTTGTCTCTATGCAGGGAAAGAAATATAAAGACAAAAATTATGAAGTGGCTAATCAAAACTGGTTCTGTTGGTATTAGTGGACAAGGCATCCTTTTGGAAAGAATTTGAATCCTGAAATATTCAAATCCTGTCAAGCTTAATTTTGTTTGACGCTATGCTGGTTTTCCTAAAGTAAATATATTTGCCTTTATACATAAAATGTGTCCCCTTCCACAGAGCAGAGTTTCCAACGCAAGATGAACCTTCTGTTGAGACTCCACTGACCACTACTGGTGACACAAAGGGAATGTGCTATATAACATGTCAGGGAATCCATCAGCTTCCCTAAATATCCTCATCCTGGTCACCCATGTGGCAGGACATCCTATTTCTGGCTATTATTCCCTGAGGCCACCCAAAGGGGTGAGAGTCCTGAGGACTATAAGATCCAGGTAGCCTTCCTTAAAAAAAGTTTCTTCTCTTTCTAACCTTGGAAGATTTGGGTTTCATGTCTGGGCTCTAGTTCATGCATTTCCTGGCGATGGCAGTAAGTTGATTCCTCCAAGGGCTTACCATCCCTCCAACATTGTACTGCTGTTTCTTGCCTCTGTTTAGCACCAAATAATAAAAGCATTGTTTCAGCGGATACCCAGAGAGGACAGCAACGTGCCAAGAGTCACATACCAAACAGGATCAGAACTCACGAGGACTTCAAGGATCTATTTATAGGGAGTGATCAAAGCACACAGTGAGTGCTCACATTTAAAAATTTTATACAGTAAAAGACACATTGCCATGAAGTCCCCCTCAAAGCACCCTCCCCCCAAGTTGAACACATTTATACTGTAAGTCTTGCCACTTTCTGGAGCAGTTCTGAAACTTCTCCATTGTTTCTGTACAGAGTAGATCAAAAATAAGGAATGCTGTTGCTGTGTGAGGTCCAACAGAAAGGAAGGCTTGGGGAAGTGTTACAGTGCATCCTCATCCATATCATTCACAAACCTGGTGCTGTGTGACCTCCAACTTTTCCCCAAGGTCAAAATGACCAGGAAAGGTAAACATTTTGATTCAACTCAGGACATCAAGACAGCTACAACAGTGTAACTAAAGACACACAAAAGGACTTAGAGAACTGCTTTAGAGGTTGGTAAGAACAGCGGAATAATTGTGTTTGAGGCAAGCGGGGGTATTTACAGGAGCTTAATTAGCAATGTGGGTTTTTTTTCTATAATCAATTTTATTTCTTTTTTTTTATTATAGGGAAGGGTCTACAGAGTGAGAAGGGTCTCACTACTAGGTTGGACTCATAGTGATCCGCCTGTTTACAGTCTCCCAAGAGCTGGGACTCCAGGCACACGCCACCACACCCAGTCTCAATTGCTGTCTCAGTGTGCCCCGAGGTGGGGCAGCCTGGGATCGAACTCCCGGCCCCTGTGCCTGTCTGCGGGCACTTTAATCCGCTGAGCTATTTGGCCAGCCCTGTAATGAATTTTCTAAAAACTAAATATCTGCCACATTTTCCAATCACACCTCGTCCACAATCTTCCTGGGGTTACCTCTTGCATCTTCCCTTTCATCCCACTCACCGTGCATCTGCCCTGAGCCTGATCACCAGTTCCAATTTACCTTCAGATCATCAGGAATGAAGACTTTGCGAGCTTTCTTAATCATAGGCTGTGGCTTCAGTTCTTCCTCAGAGAACTTGCGTTTGCGAGGGTCAAACATCTCCTGGCCTGGGATGCTCGAGAGGGCGAGATCTGCCGGATCGGGCTCATAACCCACGGGGACCTGGATGGTGTCAGGATCGATGGGGCTTGGGGTATTGCGGTTTGCTGGCAACAGCTGACCTGGAACAGCACAAGAGTTTTAATTCATGCACATGCTAGGCAGATGCAGCAGAACCTCCTATAGTGCTCTAAGAGGAGGTAGAGGTCTTTAACTTACATAGGATCCCATCACCATTTGTTTCATTCTCCTCTACCAAGGCTCTGAGAACACAGAAGGCTATGACTTTCCTTGTGTCACATTAGGCAGAACAATGACCCAGGCACACATGTCCACTACATGGACAGAGAAAAGCTGTTTAAGAATATGAGTTCAAGGGGCCAGCCAGGTAGCTCAGTGGATTAAAGTGCCTGGGTTTGATCCCCCGTGTGTGTGTGTTGGCCCTGCCTCTGGAGCGCACTGAGACAGTGATTGAGACTGGGCATGGTGGAACACACCTGTAATCCCAGCACTTGGGAGGCTGAAAACAAGAGGATCACTATAAGTCTGATCTGTGTAGTGAGACCCTGTACTAAATACATAAAAAGTAAATAAAAAAATGAATATATGAATTCATTCTTACACATTCAAGAAACACAGCTGTGCGTCAGGCCTGGTACAGGATGCAATGTACAGAACCACAAGGCTTTGAGCTCTAAGGTATTTCCCAGGTGAGTTGCAAAGACAGACCGATAATTGGGGTAAAATGCAGGTATCTGGACGGATGTAAGTCTCTAGGGAAGCGTACTTAGAGCTAACGCTTGCTACGTCTGCATCCTGAGACGGATACATTCCCAAAGAAGATATTCACGGCATTAAGACAAGACAGAGGTTTGCAGTTTTCAGGAACTACAAATAGCCTTCAGGAGCTGGAGTGCTGAATCAGAAGACAAGATGAAGCAGGGAGAAGTGAAAGTGCAGATGTGGCCACCGACAAAGGAATAGCGAGGCCCTAAATCACGCGGTGGATTCTCAGCAGCTGAGCAACATAGCTGAAGTTTGGAAAAAAGATTCAAGTAATGCAAGTGGGTGGATGGCAGTGGGCTCGACCGCAGGCAGATCAGATCCTGGCTGCTATATAAATCATGCACACCTTCACAGTGCAGCGGAGATGGTGAGGGGGCTAGCGAAAAGAACGGCTCACAGTTTAGAAAAGGACAGACGGGAGACATCCAGACTTTTGCTTTAGGGTTCAAAGCACGAAACACCACAGCAATTCACAAACATCCATAAACAATGAGTGTCTTGTGTTGCTGGATACATCCTACTGGAGAAAGCAAATTTCACAGGCCAAAATGTTTATGCTGGGAGCGCTTTTCCTTTCCGAGTTTCATCTGAGTTTTACAATCACTCCTTTCACACCCAGAGAATAAATGAAAGGATCCTACTCGAGGATATCTGGCCCATCTCCCCTTTGTCCTCACTGCCAGTGGCAGGTCAATGTGTGAAGTCTTTTTGGTTTCATTAAAAACTACCCTCAGGTTGAAGCACGAAGCCACTGGCTTGGATTCTAGCAAAACTGTGAAACCGGGCTTGTGTGTTTTCTGGAAAGACTTGGTGGGAAGCTTGCAAAAACGAATGCTCGAGGTGACCTTTGGGGTCCCACTTTGCTTTGAGCTCTCTTTGTATCCGGCTTGCCAAAGAGGAAGTGATGAGCCCTGAGGTGAGGCGCTGGCAGAGGGTGGGGATTTCTCATTAGCCAAGCTCCAGCTTCTAGAGACTGCTGAGCTCTGTGCTGAGCAGTGTCAAACTGGATTTGATCTTGTGCCGCTTGACGATGCCTCAGAAAACAAACCACAGCGCAGCTGTACAATAATTTTATTTCCCTTTGGAAAACTCTTTATACTTAATACCAAAACTGCCCCATACCTTATCTGCACAAAGCTCAACATAACCCTACAGGCACGCACTCCCTTCTCTCACCTTCTCAAAGCATTTTAAATCGAACTGTCCCAATTACTTCAAGTTCCACCTTAATACAGCAAAGTTCTGTTTATTATGCTTATTATTATTATTATTAGTTCTGTTTATTAAGTGTTAAGCTTACACGTTCACGTGCACGCCTGCGTGCCCATGCAAACACGCGTGTGCACACACACACACACACACACACACTCCTATCATACCACACAGTCTTTGTTTTTGTGGCCGGCTCAGCCCACCCTAGGGGTGGGGCTGGCAGAAGTGGCGCTGCATGTGGTGCCGGGGATGGAACCATGGTCCCTGTGCTTGCCTAAGCAGGTGCTTTAGACCCAAGCTGACTTGCAGGCCCCAACGCAGTCTTTCATGTTTTGCTCATGTTTCTCCCACCCAACACTGGGCCACGGTGCCTACCTCAATAGGTAGGCACCTACCTCCTACTTCTACAAGGAGCATTTCCTTTTGGGGTGGCTCCGTGTGGTTCTGGACTCAAACATTTATTCACAGGCATCCTGACAATAACATTTTCCACTTAGGCAGAACCTTTCTCCACATGCTTTCTCTCTAGTCCCTTTCTCCAAGAGAATTAGGTCAGCTCTACCTGTAGAAGGTAGAAAACCTACCTGGACCCAGTCCACATAAATGACTTCCCCAGTGTCCAACAGCAAGCAGCAAAGTCCCGAGAAACAAAACCAGGTCCCCTTCCTCCCCAGAGACTTGCCTACTATCTTTTTATCTTCATTTCTCAATGAATCAACTCTGCTGGGCTCAATGTTTCTTCTCCCTTATTCCAAATTGTCCATGGTGCCACTGGGTCATGGGGAGAGGGGCTTTTCTTTTTACTACTTTTTATGGCTTTAAAACTTGTAATAGAAGAGCTTTCAATTGAAGAAGGCATCATTCCATTATATGAAAATTATTTTAAAAAGCAAATTTCAGCCAATGTGACACTGTGTTAAGACAGCGAGGATCTCAGCTCTCAGGACTTCTGAAGCCCAAATAGCCTTCCTACGCCTCCTCCGAGCCATGACCATCCTTAAAAGTTTGATGAGAGCCACTCTTACCTCAGACTTTACACACATGATTTAACTGAAATGGGATCACATGGCCCACATAGCTTAGATGATTTTTTTCAATATATCAACATACAATATGTAATTTTCCACATTAATACAAATAACTACTTTTTAATGATGAGTAATGTTGTGTAGTGGATATAAAAATTTGAGACTATTCCGCAATGGGTGGATTTCTAAGATATATATTTTTGTTGAAGAGATTCCCAGAAGTGGGACTGCTCACACAAAAAGCAAGTAATTCTTTTTCTCTAAATGCACTGACAAATGGTACTCCAAACTGTCATATTTATTCATACTTGTATCAATATACAAGATAACATATAGCTCCTCAGTACTAAACTTTGAAGTGCTGCTAACCCGATAAACCCCAATCACTTAATTTTTATTTTTCTCTGGCTTTTAGTGACACTTAGCATCTTCTATATTTACTGGGTATTTACTTAATCTCTGTGTACCATGCCTTCATATATTTTGCCCTTCTAAATGTGATTTTGCTTGTCCATTTATAAGAACTCTTTATCGATCATGACTATAATCTCATCTGTTTTGTCTCTATCAAATAATTCCTCTCATGCTGTTCTATGTTCTAACTTTGCTTATAGGGTTTGTCACTACTGAGATGTCTTATATTGTAGTGTAATAATACACTGAAATTCTTAGGGGCCGGGGAGATGGCTCAGTAAAATAAGCACTTCCCTGGCAAGCACAAGGGCCTGAGTTCAATCCCCGGTTCCACAAAAAAAAAAAAAAAAAAGAAGTTCTCTTTTATGCCTTCTAATTCATACTTTCTCTATCCTCAAATCATATTTTATGTATGCATAACATATATGCAAACTAACATGCAGATATATAGCTGTGCATGACTACCTTTTTCTTTAACTGTAAATGGTTTCTATCAGTGATGGTGAGCCTGTTAGAGCTTTCAGGAACGCGGAGCTGGCCACGGCATGCATGGGATAGATCTGCCACCAGTGGTTTACATTATTAGAGTTCTGAGTCACTTGACATTTTCTGTTGTATCAGAAGCGGCATTGCTTAAGGTTTTCCAAACTTCTTACTATAACATTAGTACGGTTTTATATTTGATAAGGCAAGTGGTAGTCTTCCTATTGTTCTTTTCAGAAAATGTTGTCGGAGACATTATCATATTTACTGTTTTAGAGGAATTCCAGAATACATTCCTTCTTATAGAAGGTTTTGATCTAAGACCCCAGAAAAGCCACAGGTATTTTGAAGGCAACTAAAATAGTGAAGAGACCCATGGTGTGCTCTCCATTTTTATTTGGGGGGCTTTTTATATTTATCAGTTCATTTTTAACAGACCTCTTCATTTTAACCATTAACATTTTTGCGGAATTTACAGACCTCCAGGGTTTTATAATAGCTGCCCTTGTTGGAAAGCTCATATTTACTAGCTGGTTATTAATGCTTTACAGGTAGCCACTGGCTTTAAAATGCTGGTCTTCTATCCAGACACCTTATTTATTCTCTTATTAGTTCTAGTAGTCCCAACAGCTTGAAATTCTCTTAGTTTTTACGTGAATAATCTTATCTTCTGCCTCTGGGGACAGCTGTGGCTTCCTTCGAGTGCTTGTAATTCCCATTTTGTTTCTTTAAAGTGTTCAACCTCACTGAATTAACAAGGCTGTAGAAGACACTGGAGAGTAAGAGGACTAGTGATGTCTTGCCCCAGACTTCAAGAGAGAACGCACTGAGTGCTTTACACTTTCTCCAGGTTGTTTGTTCTAGAATCCTCAGAGTAACCATCTGACAAGTTAAGGCAGGTCCAACTCTTCCAGCCCTACTGTATTGACAGTTTCTTTAAACATTAGAAAAAAAGCTATTAAATTTTCTCAAATGCTTTTTTGGGCCACTTTAAAAGATAATCATGGGCCAGGGAGATAGCTCAGTGGCATAAGCACCTGCCTAGCAAGCACAAGGTCCTGAGTTTGCTCCCTGGTACTGAAAGAAAAAAAAAAAAGACAATCATGTGGTTTTGTTCAGTACTTGTTAAGCATGGGCATGGTGTTTCTCTAAGGCCTTATTTAAAAGATCCACTGTGGTGGACAAAATAAACCCCATTT